TCCTGTACACTGCAGTGCAGACACCTTTCAGATTATATGAATGGCTGGTGATGCCTCAAGGCATGAAGAATGTGCTGGCAATACATCAGTGCAGGGTTAACCATGCACTTCGCCATCTACTCGGGAAGATCTGCCATATCTACCTTGACGACATCATAATCTGGTCTAATTCCGTTGAAGAACACATGCTCCATGTATGCCAGGTACTTGATGCCTTACGTGCAGATGCACTTTATTGCAACCCTAAGAAGTCTCAGTTTTTTCTTCTGGAACTGGAGTTCTTGGGCCACCATATTTTGCGGCGAGGTATCGAGGTTGATGAATCAAAGGTTCAGCGTATCAAGGAGTGGCTGTGACCTAAAACGGCCTCTCATGTATGTCAATTCCTAGGTCTGACTCGGTACCTCTCGGCACACCTCCAGAACCTTGCTGAATATACTCGCATACTTTCTCCGCTCACAACAGACCAGGCAGAGAAGAACTTTCCGGCCTGGAATGACAAACACCAGGAAGCCTTTGATGCAATCAAGAACCTCGTCTCCGAAAGTGCATGCTTGACAGTGATTGACCATGTAAATCCTGGCGAGAACAAGATTTTATTACCTGTGATGTGAGCAACTTCTGTACTGGTGTGGTCCTCTCATGGGGACCCACATGGGAAACAGCCAAACCAGTTGCATATGATTCCATGCAGCTCACTGGTGCACAGCTAAATTATCCAGTGCATGAAAAAGAACTTCTAGCAATAATCCGTGCCCTGAAGAAATGGAGATCAGATCTTCTAGGCTCACACATCAATGTGTTTACAGACCATCATACCTTGGAGAATTTTGACACACAGAAAGACCTTTCACGTCGACAGGCACGCTGGCTTGAAGTAATGTCACAGTATGAGATGACAATCAGCTACATCAAGGGAGAAGATAATTGTGTTGCAGATGCTCTTTCTCGCCTTCCAGTGGATGACACCCTGGTGACAGATGAAGATCCCAAAGAGATTTCCTCATGGAAAGAATGGCTCTCGAAGAACACCATAAATACGATTCTTTCGATTTCAACAGACGTATCGATTTTGACAGCCATCAAAGCAGGTTACCAGGTAGATGAATTCTGCGCAAAGTTCGTGTCAGGCGAGACAATTCTCCCAAATGTAAAAGAAGTCAATGGTCTCTGGTATATTGGTGACCGACTATTGGTGCCTTGCATGGGTTCAATCCGTGAGGACCTTTTCAAACTGGCGCACGACACTCTGGGACATTTTGGTGCAGATAAGTCATATGCAGTACTACGAGATGCATATTACTGGCCGAACATGTGCAGAGATCTTGAAAACTCATATATTCCAGGTTGTGTACCTTGCCAATGCAATAAATCAAGCACGACAAAACCTGCAGGGCCACTACACCCATTACCCATACCTGACAACTGCGGTGATAGCATCGCCATTGATTTTGTTGGGCCTTTACCCCCTGACAGTGGATTTAACTGTTTACTCACAATGACAGATCGCCTAGGTTCTGATGTATGTCTAATTCCCACCCGCACTGACCTCACTGTGGAAGGCCTAGCATCTCTCTTCTTCGACCACTGGTACTGCGAAAATGGACTCCCTGCCAACATCATCTCCAATCGTGATGAGCTTTTCATTTCAAAGTTCTGGAAAGCATTACACAAACTAACTGGTGTACAACTGAAGATGTCCTCATCCTTCCACCCAGAGACAGACGGTTCTTCTGAATGTTCGAATAAGACAATCAACCAGGCCATCCATTACCATGTTGAACGCAACCAGAAAGGCTGGGTATGAGCCTTACCTGTCATTCGTTTTAACATCATGAACACAGTCAATGCCTCCACAGGTTTCTCAGGTTTTCAGCTACGTATGGGATGCTCACCTCGTGTTCTACCCCCTCTAGTTCCGAATTGATTGGTGGACGATGCTAAATCCGATATTGATGCTGCGAAGATCATCGCCCAACTCTTGGATGACATGGCTCAAGCTTGCGACAACCTCATCAAGGCAAAGATCAACCAAGCCCACCATGCGAACAAGCATTGAGGAAAAGAAGATGTCTTCGAGGTGGGCGACAAGGTGATGCTCAGTACCTTCCACCATCGCCAAGATTATAAAGCTGGAGACAAGAGTCGTGTTGCTAAGTTCATGCCACATTATGATGGCCCTTACATCGTATTGCATGCTAATCCTGCCCTCTTGTCCTATACTATAGAAATGCTGAACACACCAAATGTATTCCCCACCTTTCACGCCTCTGAACTCAAACACTTCATACCAAATGACCCTACCCTTTTCCCCTCACGAGAACACCACTCTCCAGAACCAATACTCACCGCAGACAGTTTTGAAGAATGTTTCATTGAACGAATCATCGACCAGTGGAAATGTGGACATGGCTATCAATACCTAGTTCGATGGCTTGGTCAAGGACCCGAAGAAGATCGATGGCTTTCCGGCAGTGCACTCAACGATTGCGAAGCCCTCGACGTATGGCAGGCTGGACTTGGTCAGGATGCCTCATGGTAGCTTTTCCCCACTGGGGTTTTTGACGCACCCACCAGTTGATGTTGTGTCATTTTACCTTTCTCCTCTTCTCTTTCATATTACAGGACATTTTTCTTGGATGGGGGAGAGTGTAAGCATGCTGCTTACCACGTCGACATTACTCACTAGATCTCTGGTCATAGATCCTTTGATCGTACTATATTTCACGTCATGTACTTACATATTTAGCGCTAGTTCGGGATACGCCCTCACTTACCTTCTGACCACCACCATCCCCTCCTTCATAGTCGACTACATCCTGTTTTCTCCTTCCTCTTGCTTTCAATATACACCGTTCCTTGTTAGTCTTGTCCGATTCTCTCAGTGGTCTCACTCTTCTATAGAGCGAGGTTACACTTATTTGTGTATCCAGAATGACTTTGGTCCAAAAAATTCTTGGAGTCGCTCAGCATTGCCAGAAATACGGTTGACGGGTATGGTTACGACCCGTACTGTCAACGGTTTCAGCCCATATGGTGACGGTACGGGTCAAGCCGTAAATTTGACGGTCGTAACCGTATACAGATACGGTGTGGATCCCTAGTTATAAGACTTGTTCATCGACATTGTTCATGCCATTATTACTCGTTGGGCTTATCTTCCTAGTTCGTATTTATGCTTGCTCACTTACATCCCTTTTTCATCTTATACTAGCGACATTTCTTCATGATCTCTTTTCCCATGTGAATGTGACCCGAGATCATGGCGGTGTAAGACAGAAAAATGCATTCTCTCTAATGAAGACCAATATGATGTTTTGATTGGCAGCAAACCCCTAATACTCCATATTTCTCAATTTACAGATTCATTAGAGTCGCTTGCTGGTCACCAGAATTGACGAAAAGTAAGCTCCAAGCGGTGACGCAGTTATCAAAGAAATCTGGTCGAAAGAGAAAAAAATAAATGTGTGTGCCCCTTCTAATATCCTTCTTGCAAATGCCAGAATTGAGTACTATTTTGACGAGTACAGGATGCACGCATGAGGCCTAAGCCCTTGTACAGTATTGTCTGTTATTTCTGTCTAATATCTTGCGATCTTCCAAAATTCCGCTGTCAATGATTGGTCTGGGATCCAAAGCGCATGATTATGAAAGGAAGCATCCATACACTTTGTATGGTCCTTAAGCGCAGTCCATCTTCATTCCTCAGGTGAGCTTCGTCAATCCCGAGATACGTTCTCACCAAGTTCTACCCCAGTCGTCTAGTCCACGGATCTTATCCTCACGCTGCATTCAAAGAAAACGGCAAGCACACTTTCACAGGCTACATAGGACCACCACTTTGAATGCATTTCCTCGCATTAGGTAGCTTCATGTAAAGCCTTTGACGATGCACGAAGATCACCCCCTAGCTATTGGAAAATATCATTGGGTCTCCTCATCGTGAGTCGAAATACATCTTGTTCATAGGAACAAAGTCACTGAGATCTGTTTTATTTTAGTTTCTCACTGTTGTTCTGTGTGTCATAGAGAGAATCCGTGGATATTAAAACGATTGACACATATACGCTTCCCGTACCGTGCGTCCACTACCCCTCGATGATATCATACTAACAAAGATATCTATGTCCAGTCTTGGCTATTTTTTCTACTGACAGATTCATTTTGTACATTTCTTCCTCACTATTTTCAATTCAACACAGCCCAGTCCGTTCTTTAGAATGCCGAATCAGTCAATGAATATCATTGTTTCGCAGGAATAATACAGTGTCAACTGGGTATCATATACTGTAACTAGTGACATCAAACATGTCAAGAGTAGACCGAATCTCATTCCTTGCGCTTCACACTCATCCTTTAGTGCTCTAGCTACTGATGATCAGATTCTGTAAAGTGCACATCTTCTGGAACCTCTCCATGATTGTACCTAGAGTGGTACTCATTCCTCAAGCGGGAGAAGTAACACGTTCTGAAGATTTCAGGTATGACATGTACTGGGCTGTGTATGTGATTGAAGAACCTTCGTATTCCTTGAGTGATAAAAGGAGACATGTTGCCTGTGCATGTAAGAAAAGCTCTGCACCTTGGATTTCTCTCTGAAATATCAAGTCCATTCAGTCCAGTGCATCTAAGATACCATGTCTTTCAACAGCTCTCGACGTCGGCCAACGACAATGGAGAGAGGGATGATCTGAAGCGCACCAGTCAGAGAATAACATCAGAAGGATAACATACATAATGACCAGCATATCAGTGTTGCTGAAAATGCCCAATGAATACTGATAAATAGAAGACACGCATCTAATAGGGAAGACGTAAACGGTCGGGAACTGGAAGGTACTATAATTCTAAAAGCAGTTTCACCTCCATGGTGAATTGGATGCATGGAAACTAAAGTCCAATAGAAAGCTTCGAAAATATTCTTTCAGTCCTTCGAAAGGGATTCGAACCCTAGAATTGGAGATGGTATAGCCAGCGCACCAAGAAGGGTATATTTGGGACTACAACTGAACAATGGTAACTTCCCCAAGGCACGAACCGAGGGCAATCCTCCCGAGTTCTTCATCATAATCCAATGCATCCCAGTTGTTGGGGGTGTTTGAGCATAGCTCGTGAATGCGGACTTCGGCCATAGCGTTGAGTGGACCAGGGAATATGGCTGCAATCAAGGTTTTGCAGCCACGATACTCTGCTGTGGCACATTCTTCAGGGCTGATCCATACCGCTGTACCCCGCTTGCCAAGGACCATGTCAACATATGAGAGTACACAATGGCGGGATAATCCTCTGGAGAGGAGCATTGGGGGAACGGATGCCAGGGAGTACAGTTGGAACAAATTGGTTTCTAACGTCCACAGTCTGTAGCTCTCAGAGAGCGTGAGGAGGGATGTAGGTGTTGCGCTGGTGTGATCGTGCCAGTCAAAAAGGTCTGTCATAATGGGGGTATTGGTTTGTCCAAAGAGGGGGGGGGAGGCATAGACACTGAGAGAGTTGGTGGGGATGACAACAATCAATGGAGGTCGGGGCAAAGATGATATGGTTGCAATCATTGTCCTGTGAGTGTAAGTAATGAATATGCATGATTTGAACAGCTATGGGACGGTTACCTGCATGTCGCCTCCATCATCGAGGTAGGCCTGCTCCTCTGTCTTCCAGTTGTAGATCAATGCTTTGGAAATGTCGTCGCTGAAAGCTATAACATCGCCAGTCATGCTGACTGGGTGGAAACCAACATCGATGTCATGGACTTTGTGCAAGGCTCCATCGTCGTCGAGATGGAGGAACAAAATTCTTTCTGATCTACACAAGTCAGCGATGGGTCCCGGTAATCAGAGAAACAAGAACTTACCCATACAACGCGACCACAATGCTCACTTCAGACTCAGGGTCTTCATTAAGAATTATCTTGGTGAATAGCTTCCCGCCTTTGGGTAACCACTCTGAGCACTTGTGCGCACGAGCGACATCCCATATTGTCAGCACAGTCCGGATCCCCTCTGATACAATCAAAATCCACTTGTGTTGCCATCCTGGTATGAATTTGATATCAGATGCGGGTGAGGCAGTGAATTTTATGATGCTCGTGGGGATCATAGGATAGTCTGCAAGCCATCGAGTCGCAAGTCGGTAGGCATGACATGTACGCTGTTTGTGATCAGTATCATTGATGGGACAGGGGTAATCATTCGAGAGAATATTGAGTTTGAATGTGTTGAACCGTGTACATGCCTATTTGCATGTAGCAGGTAGGAATATTGAGCCTGAAGAGAGGAAATTGTACCAACCTGGCAGAGAAACAGGATATCAGGGACAGAGAGAAATGCGATGGCATCAATCAAGAGGTCATCAGGGAGGTTGTTGAGAGTGATAGTCATAGTGCAAAAAGGGCTCTGGGCCAATCCTGCCAGTGGCTCAGAGGCTTCCAATTTCCCGTGACCAACATATTCTAATTTCTTCTTGATACAAAATGCGAACACCATCACGTCAAGCATTCAAAAACGCCAGGGTTGTTAAAATGCAGTAGCGGCTGAGTGGTGAGCACTTGAGCTACCACCCTTTTTTTTCACCCTGATAACTAATGCTATTTCTGTGCAGGCTGTACCATCGGCTGAAGAAAACATACAGCGTGGTAAGTATTACTAACTGCTTCCTCTAAGCGTTCTGTTGTCTGTACCATGACAGCTTGAGTCTGCCATAATTTCTCTAGTTCAAGCTCCAAGAACAGACACCAATAAGATGCCAAATTTTTCTTTGAGACTTTTGAGTGGGCAGAAAATTAAGATATCCGCACTGGTTTGTTTTCCTACTGTATAGATGTCTTAACATACTGCTGTTTTCCAACACAATTCCTGGCTTTAACAGAAACATGAGAGATGGTACTCCGAATTCCTCTCTATGGTGGGTCCGCATCTGATCTTTCCTGAGCTCTCTGGCTAATACCAGCCATAATATAGAATCCTCAACTTGAATGCCGACTCGCAGGTCCAGTGGAGTACACATTTGCATGTCAGACTAGCATTTTGCTTGACTGGGTGAACACATGTGTAGAAATTCCGCTCGTCAATTCTGGTTCTTCATTTGCTAGATGATTGCAAGCTGAAGCCTCAACCATCTTGTTCCGAAGGAATACGGCAAATACCTCAGTAATATCATAACCTAAATGTGCGGTTTCTTATCAAATATGCGAGTCTACATTCCCCCTGGTTCTGATCAACCACTCCTCTGATCTGTGATGGACAATAGTATATATCCTTCTCATCAACAAAGGTGATAACACGGACGTGCCCAATTTGATGCCAAAGTCCTTTCCTGAGTTACACGGGGGAAGTAGAACGATTAATCACCTGAGTATACATGGTGTACCATCCCACCTTCTTCACTGCAACTCAGATTGAAATCAAAATGAACAACAAAATCAACATTTTGCACCAGAATACTGATTAACTGACCCGTGGAATCGAACTATGGGCAGGCTGTTAATCTACATCAGCTTGGAGAACAAAAACAGGGTCGCCATGCATCACCAGCCAGTGGAATTGAACCACCGCCCTGCATCCCCGAGAAACTTTTCAGGTCAACTACTGGTGTCTGGTCATTTTCTGAACTGTTCGGGCTCATTACTGTTGGAAAATGGGGGTATCGGTTCATTCCCAGTGTCACATGCATGGTAGCAAGCCAATAGTATTGCGCTTGGCTGAGCTCTGCAAATGCATGAGGATCTACTACAATAGTACCTACTTTTATACTAAATAAGTAAGTAAGGCCAGCAAGCAGCAACACCCGCTACCTTGTTTCAGGTCTGTCAGCCAGAAATATCCATAGTAGCCACTTTTACAGACTTACTTATATCTGACTGAATTTTTTCCGCATTTGATGAGGATTTTTAGAGGCCATTCTGATGCATAGCGAGTAGAATACAGTGTATATAGCATGTAGATACCTATGCAAAATAAGGACAAATGAAGTAACATCAAGAAAATCATGTGCGCCACGCAAGTGCCCTCTTCCACCACCTCAGTCACCACAGACAGCCTCACACACGCTTATCTTCAAGACATCCTATCAAGTAAGTTACTTTTTTATGTTTCTTGATGTGTTTGCTTACTGGGGTTCAACAACAAGCTCACAAAAATGTCTCTCAAGTCCAAAATCAAGCAGCGTTGGCAGTAAGTTGTCGGGCCCTGGCGAGGACAAATGCAGACTGACGGGGGGATATAGAAGTGTCATTGCGATGACGAGACGCATCATTGATCGTTTAAGAGGGGAGCGAAGTGCGTAACAGCTCGTGCTCCATCGAATTTCTACTAATGTCTTGCAGATCTTACCCGTGAATGGGACTCTAGGTCCCCATACCAAGTTTTCAGACAACAGCGAGGACTTGCAATGCTCGTTGAATCGCAATTGGAAGGAGATTTGGACACCAAGGTCGAAGACTAGCGGGAGGACGTCTTAGTTCCTCACTCTGTAGGGCATCAAGGTTCATTCGCACAAGGAATCTATGTCCAAAAATGTCTAAGTCCCTCAGGTTCATAAATCATGTAATCCCAGACAACGTACCAATTTTTTGCTGATTTTTCGGTTTTTTTTGAAGCGAAACGGTGGTTTCGCAACATGTCACAGCCATAGGCGCCTAGCGTGATGATGGGCACTAAACCCGAAAAAGAATGTGGCAGCGCCCACATCCACCGTGGGTGCCGATTACCATATCAGGGTCAAGTCGGGAGGCAAAGAACAAAATTTGTGTCAACCGGTATTCCGGCACATGCAGAGATGCCGAAGTCTCTCGGCATATCGGCATATTGGAAAAATCCAAACAAAAATTCGATCAATCCATTTAAATTGCCTGGAGTTAGTCAGAGTATCAGGAATATGCTTAGCCATGTAACAAAGGGATACATACCTTTTGTGTTGTTATGAACAACAAGTCATAGGCCAATAGAGAGAGACGATGATGGTAGTGTTTCACCATGCGGTGCATACACTCGTGCTGTCCGCGAGGATGCGCAGGCAGCGGATGAGTCTTGTAGTATGGGCAGAACTTGTTGAATGTCAGGAGTGTATAGCATGTCCTTATAAACATTTGAGTCATCATCACATGGGAAAAAAAGGACTCACCCATTCAAGTATGTCCTATAAGAGATGGTTTTTTTGCAGACAGTGGTCAGTCTCTAGTGCGTTACCACAGAGGAGCCTATATTGTCTCAGATCCAGGGAGCAACGATACACGGATAATCAGTGAGCAACACTGGGGGTCAGGATTCTGGCGGGTTCTGGCATGCACAAGCATGCAAGTATGAATGAGCTGATAACGGCAATTGTATAATCAGGAATGGTCTTCGACTTGCACAACTTTATACCATTAGCACAAGCATACAGGCATGAATGAAATAAGAACGTCCAGATGGAACCTGCACTGAGGACAAGAGTTATACAAATGTGAATGTGGCATGCGCATGACACTCACTAGGAGACAGCATCCGCAACATTCCATTTTTTTTTCTTCCGCTCTTTTCACCTGTAGCCACCAAGAATCAAGAATGCGAAAAGACAGTTGAAAGAGCTGAAGCATGCAGTAAAGGATGATTGCATAGGAACTGAGAGAGAGGGACGATCCTGTGACTGTGACATGGCATGTGACATGCATTCAGTTTCAGTTCCAAAAATGATAAACTGACATACCTCACTCTGTCAATATTACCCCTGAGCTGTCTCCTTTCCTGCTCTTCCGGACTCGGCGACCTAACTCAAGTGTCAGCTGTTAGGATTGTTAGAAGTGAGCTGATGGCGACTAACCATAAATCTATTACATTGTTATTTGTTTCTTCATCGCTATGATCAGCTGCAAAGCAATCAGTGCAAGAAAAGGTGGAGGATGATAAAAAATGGGTATGTCATTCAGGTGTTGGACTATCGCTCTGATAGCGATGTAGAGAGTCATGTGGGCCAACCTGGAAATGCGATTTGGCTTTGTTATGGACGCTCTTGAAGCCTCGTATCATTCAGATTGAAAAAATGTTTAACTTGGGAGCGCAATGATAGACTTGTCCTTCTACTTGGCTCCCTTTATCCATGTTACTGTCGTCTAATGCTTATTCTTTTCAAACCATGGCGGAGAGTTACCCACTTGATGATTATTACAGTTTTAACATTTATAAGCACATGCACAGCCATGGGAGTTACGAAGATGCTGTCGTCAGCTGCATCCTTGATCGAATATAAAACTCAGGAAGCGTGGTACAAAACAGATGAATTATGTTGTACCTCAGTGACTTAACTTCCAATCTAGTGAGTGACAACGGATTCTGGTTTGTTTTTCTTCTAATGATTGTTTACAGCGTGCGTTATGAATTTCATCAGTGACTGCTATGCTGTCAGTCTATATCCGGATGCAACATTTGTATATCGCGTTGCTCTCACCAACTATTGATGACATGGCGACAGCAACACTGATTTGACTGACAAGCATAAACGACATGGATGGAAATCACGGATAAACAATTTTCTCTACCCGAATATGATCTCGTTATGTCGTTCAAAGTGCAACATTGCTTGAAAAGGCAGACAGTAACAATCAAACAGTCACTAAGTAATTACTTGTTTTTTCTACTTCTAACACGTATCTCCAATTTCCATGTGTTATTGACGCCTCTGCAGTGGAGGACAGAATTCCCCTGGTAAAACCCACGTCTGTAGACGAGCTGTAATGTACTGAAACTCAAGAATTTGGGTGTATCCAGTACATCAATTACGTCTTTCCATGCGAACTGAATTTGCGTGCTGAAGCATAACTGCAAAAAGTCTAATCGACTAGGCGTTGGGAGGGTATTCATGCACGACAACAGCATATATGGCAATTGGGAATGTCGAACACCAATATATAGCTTTCAGGGAAGTACATCGCGATAGATCCAAAAAGTGGATATGTCTTTCATTCAAATCTAAACACATACCAACGTCATTCATGTTGAGAACAGATACACAAAAAAAAAACACGCATCTTTCATATCCATATAAATATTAACCAGATATGAACCGACGATTCCGATATCGATTGGCATCTTGAATGGTACGTGGAAACCATGAATGATCCAATGTATCGAATCGATCGCAATGGAGTTACGTGGAAAGATTGCCGCCAAGCTAATCGCTTCATCGAGGTCCATGTCCTCGAATGACATGGTGGGAATGAAATGTTCGATTTTTTGCATTGAATCCATTCCACTCTCTACTGTTAGTTTGCATGGCTCCATGGCAACTCCATCTCTCACAACGACGGTGTTGACATTGCCAAGACCAAGAATCTTGGATACACCAGAGCCAGTCAGGTAGCAGTGAGTGAATGTGAATTGTATAGGCAAATGGGGTGATATCCTCCATTCTTCCAGGTAATGAGGAAGATAGACATCGGTAAAATGGATAGCCCTCAAATTTGGAAAGAGATTTAAGAGCTCGTTCCATCCATCTGTGGGTATCCAGCAGGTTTCGATCTGTATCTCGAAAACCCATGTACATCTTTCCAGATTGTCAAGGAAATATTGAATCCACGTCGACAATCTGTAGGTATTGCAGATGCGAATACGAGCATATAATGCCTCTAGGGCACATGGCAATAGGGATGTACCCGTGAGACAGCAGGCCAGGAGGTCCGAGGGAGAAAGTGCATCACTTTGAAGAATGCGCAGCTTCAGTTCATCAGGAAAGTCGATCATCATTGTAACTTTTCAACTCTCTTATGGATATTTATAACAATGAGATGATTATTGATGTGCGTGAAGAATATGTGATTAGATAATTGGTACCTAAGTAATGATGACTCTAGTAGGCCGTGATAAACTGACGATGAATAATAGCTGACAGTGCGTGAAGGCATTCCTCATAAAATTCCAAGGTTTCCCGATTCCCGATCCCAAGCAAGATCCGGTGTGGGGGGATGGTCGTCCGACACTGCACAGCAGTAATCTTTTAACGGGAGGTGTGTCAGATACATCGGAGTCCGGAGATGAACGTTTCAGGTCTGAAACGATATGAGGAGGTAAGGACGAGTCACCCTTATGTGAGGCACCCTTGGGACAAGCGACACCGAACAGGGCACATTCCCGACACTTCGATGCCCTGGAGAACTGAAAGCTGCATGGATGTTTCTTCTTAACACAATTCATGCACTACGAGGATTGTCAGCATGAAGAACAAGGAATGAGATCATAACACCTACTGCAGGCACCATCAGTGCAGGAAAAAGGTCCCAGTCGGATATCCTGACTTTGCACACATGAGTGTCTTCCAACGTACGTGCTGCGGTACGTCTAATATTGCAAAATACCAGAGCGGCCCACACAGAGGTACTGCAACGATTCTTAAGGCAGTCAATGTCCTCTCTGGTTAACGTTTTCGTGATGTCTAAGATGCTTCTGCACCACTGCAGTTTATTGAGCTCTGGTACCTCATTCTTGGATTCAAATAATATGCGTTGAATCTATGTTTATATTTCAGTTCAATCTGAGAAGCACTTGCAAAATTATAACTCACTTTTGACAAGCCAGACTCGCCGTCGTCAGCTGGATCCTTGATCGAATACAAAACTCAGGAAGCATGGTACAAAACAGAGGAATTACATTGTACCTCAGCGATACTCAACATCGGAGCACCAGTTTGTACACGTCCAGTTCTTGGCGACAATGTCAAGCAGATTCAACAAAGAGTACTTTGGAGCCGTATAGATTAAAGAAGTGAAGAATCAAACAACGCAATGTATGCACCTGAAGATCATGGACAGGTTGTGAACGATAATTTTTGTTATCAGCTCACAGCCTTTACTAATAATTCAGTGTAGACACCAAGTAAATCTACGTTTGAGCGGATAACGTCGGATTTGAGTCTCAGATTGAGGCGAAGGGCAGGGGGGGCCAACAGTTATGCAAGAGTCCTCCATGGAGGCGGAAGATAAAAAATCACTATCACAGCGGATGTCAGATGCCATTGTCAGGGGCTGAGTTACTCATCGTTGACTATGGCTGTCAATCTCGATCAACCATCATAAAGACCAATATGGCCGATTTGATGATATATCAAAAAGTTCACTTACAAAGAACATTCTGATAATGACCAAGCCTTTCGGGTGGACCAAGACTGTAATTTCAAAATATATTTTAAACACAGAACAGGCGAAAATCAATATAGCACCAAATTCCGAACAAAGAAGAGTAGACACACACTAGACGAAAACTAAAACCAAAGAAATGTAAAAAATCTAAGGAGTAATTGAGATTCTTCAGAGATGATACTTTAAAAATGTTGCACAGCTTATCATATTCGTTGAAGTTGATATCTACTATTAGTCCATCATCATGAGAGCTGTGCTTTACGACAACCGCCGGAAACACCGATGGCTGCTTGACCATACTGCCAACATGACTGAAAGAATAATTAGGAGGACCCATCGCTATAGAATAATAGCTATATGTTCCCACTTCTTGCCCTGGAATGATGATCCCAGTAACTTTAATGATGCACGGGATGACTCCGCTGAAGTCCATTTGAGTGATGCCATTGAGGTCGACATGAGTACGCAGTTTGTCCAATCTGGGTCTCTCTCCTGAGAAACATATCAACACAACTGCTTCCTCGTTGAAAATATGGATGTCAGGCTGTAATGATCAGCAAGATGAGTATATGTGCTAAGGTGTTCATGGAAACCCAAACTCACTCGAGAAACAACTAACACGTGCAGAGACAGAGCGGGCTGATGCTGCAGAATTGTCGCAGTTTCTGCGGAAGGTGTAGTAGATTCCACTGGGTGGTATATCATGAGGAGAGATATCCATGCCAAAGGAAGCTAAACGACTCACTACAATTTGTGTGAAGAGCTTTGTGGCTTTGTGCACATAATAGTTCATTTTAAATAAGCACAGGCACAGGGAGTCACTGAAGATGTTGACAGTCGATGATAAAGACGGCTCGTATGTTCCGCGTTCGATCAGTCGATTTCGACACGTTTCTTACAAGACAGGGGCACAGTGGAGATTGACAAATTAGCGCTGCAAAGGCTTAATCATATATGGCATGCAAAATATAGGACGGCACTACTCGCAGGACGTCACTACTCAGGAACAATGGCTATTGATCCGAATCCCAAACTTTGGCCAGACTTATGAGCTCACCGGGCTCGTCCCACAGGACCAATATCTAAGAACTGCTGCAACAATGAAACAGTACGCTGTACGTTTCTCCCAGCCAGACCCACATGTTTGCAAATACGCATAGCGATGTCTTGAGCTTCCCAATAAAATGGAAGTGTTTTAGCCCACGCTCCTTTCTGTTGTGCAATAGACCAGGTATGAAAATGCATACACGCACGTTTCTCCTCTAGCTTGTCATCCAGGACTACAGGAAAAGGGCTCGCAAGACAATACCTGCAGGGCGTAGTCACCCGGAGCCAGAACCATTAGACATAAGGCTGTAAGAGCCCTGCGAGGAAACACTGCGGACCATATTAGACTTGCTTTTTGGATAGAAGCATGAGACTCACATCGGTTCTTTAGAGTCTTGATATTCAGTATCATTCGTATAAAAGCCTGCATAAGTGTGTGCTGATTTGTGATCGACGTTGGTGGTAAAATCCCCCAAGTGAGCTGTCGTGTCGCCATGCGACCTCTGTGATGTGCATAGAGTCATATGTCCAAAACGAAGACCCTTTCGTTAACGAGGGTATGGGAGTGTAGATGGAATGTACTGCAGAAGCCGGTTGAATGCTGAGCTACTCAGTCAGAGAAGAATGTCATGAAACTATTGCTTAACCCACACAATATCGCCAGGAAGTATCAGTATCGTGCCAGATTTAGACATCTCCATCGTACTCATATCACCGTCGGAAGGCTCATCGTTGTCTTCCATGGATTGAACGAACCAAGCATCGATCTCAGACCGGGCTAATGACTTTTGTGGGTGTTGCTCGATCCACAATTTACACCCCTGATCGACCATAATGAGAGTTAGTTTGCCGTCTGTATCTCTGTGCCAATGAGATAAAGTACCACCATGATGAAGTAATGCCCAAGTTTGATCAGTAACATGCTCTCTTGGCAGCGTAAATTTCTCGGTGTCAACGAATTTGGTGTGTGCCATAGCCTGAGAACCATCATCCAGATTGCTGCAACAGTCAAAGTGAGAAAGCACAATAGAAGCTCATACATGAATGGCAGTACTGAAATTGAGAAGGAACGGTATCCCTGGGGAGCGGCAAATCAAGTATCATCGCGCTCTTGGAAACATCTTGAATACCAGTCCACGAACTGACCTGACAGTTGTTGCCACAGTAGGATTAGTCCTATCCGATTGTTTTTTGACACTGTCTGTGGATATCTCAATGAATATGAATAAGTAAGGTGACCAAAACTAGGACCCACCATGCTCCTCCACTTCCACAAAAGGACCGATATTATACTCGTTTTGAAGGAACTCGACAGTAATCTCGCCGTGTGCTATAGGACAAACATAATCATGTAGAACCACAACTTTATTCCGGGCAGTAGCTTCTCTTATATGTTGAACGAGCACATTGTGTTCAGGAAAAGGAAGGTGCCAATACGTCAACCCACTCATTACTCACGTCTAGAATCGGGGCAGACACGGCCATTGTACATACAAAATCTGTTTCCTACAGACAAGTTCATCAACCCATGAATATCAGCCTCTAATCAAATCATACCTTGGCTAATGCGTTTCCTCCGTCATTTCCAGTTACACAACCAGCATAGAACTGTAAGTCCGGATCACCTTTCCACAGACAATGGTCGGCGGCAGCGCAGATATATTTTCCAAGAATACCGCTGACAAGATCGGCGCGCTTGCGAAGAGATCCATTTGAGTCACGTTGGTAATGTATCAATGTAACCGGCCTGGCGTCAAAGTCAATATATTATGGTGATGGTTCTTTGTAAATGCCTGTACTTTTCACTGGACGTCTTAGCTCTCTCTCGGTAATGCACCCTCGCAGTTGCCGATTTTTTTGCGTTCCTGGCCAACCGACGTGCTGTGTCTTCAGCAGACTCACCCTCTTTACTCTGATAAGAGCTGAGCTGTTTCGCACTTATTCAGCGTGGTATGCCTGTCACAGGAGGGTACACGCGATCCGCTTCTTCTTTCGTAGCACTGTGATCCGTCATTTTCAGAGTACAACATCAACCTGAATGACATACCCATTTTTTATCATCCTCCACCTTTTCTTGCGCTGATTGCTTTGCAGCAAACGCAATCGTCTAAGGGAATCATCACTCTCAGTATAGGATGTTGTCTTGGCTTGTGGGAAAGAGGTCCTCTCTGCAGGGTTGTTCATCGTCAAGGCAGATGAGCAACAGCGTGGAGCTTGACTTGCTTGCTCACCGTGTTAAATCCAAAAAAGGTATCGGATTATCGGCCCTGTGCCAGATATCATTTCATTTCAGGCAAATTTATGTAAAACAATCTAGATCTACCGATCCCCTGTCTACATGGGGAAGTTCAACTCTTTTGGATTCCTGTCCAAAGAATTACGAGTGTGGACGTCCCAGATGACCAATGTGTTATCATCTGGCCCAAAAGGTTCCTCTGTAATAATCATGCGATACTCCTCTCGAGCGACATAGCATTTATCCAATGCCGCGAGGGCTGCGGTGTGAAGTAGCATGTCATAGAGCTCCCATCGACTGTAGTACCTTAAGTCGCAGCATCCTCCCACACCGACTACTTGGCCTTTGTTGACTTTATCACTCAAATGCATGAGCAAAGCGGCATCGGGCAGTGTCACGGAATAAGAATATTTGATGCGAATTGTGACTTCACGAAGCTGACCGGAGCATGGTAAAGTCCCGATAGCATTCAACACCAGGTGAGATAGCAGTATGCTCATCGTTGAAGTCTAGACCCTTCAATGCAACACACTTCGAGAGGTCCAGTGTTGGTTTGGTCCTTCGTTGCCCTGCAAATCACGCCTCATCAGAATACCCTCATTCACAATACATCAAGAAAACAGTACAATTGTTCCATTTCACAGACAAACATTCCAAAGTGGAAGCAGACGCTTTGATGATTTGCATCAACAAAAGAAATTGGGATGGTTCGACCACGAAGAGGAAAGCAGAAAGCTTCTGTAAGGCTGGCATTAACTGCAACAGCATCCATAGGATAGGATAGTTGTCGCTGGAGGCGAAGGTAGGATAACACATAAATGTGTTGAGTTTCAGCAGCTTCAGCGCATTGACATCCACCTCGGATACGTTAGGCGTATTGTATAGCGGATGGAATGCGTCACCCATGTAATGAAGGTGATGGAGGCAAGGCAATGATTGGATCCATTTTAATATTGATGCAGGGTCATGGTAGCACCTGGTCATGTACAGTGTCTTGACGTGGTCCCAGGACGCTCCGCAGTCGATTAAGAAACGAATGTTGCAATCGCAGACGAACAACTTCTTCAAAGGTGTTGTCTCGGTGGCTATCAAAGACATAAGAATGGCGAAGTCATTGACCCAGGAAGTTTCCATGGCCTCAATTTTGAGATGCTGCACAGCTGCTGCTAGGTGCTGCCATCCCATGAATATGTCGAGCCATTCAGAGGGAGGATTGTTGATGCTAATAGTGATATGGTCGAACAGAATGGCCTGGGAGTGTGAGAGTGTGGTTCGTGAAATGAGGGAGCAATGTATCGCAGTCTCCTTAGGATCGGGAGAAGTGAGAATTGCTTCTTCAATGATTTCGTCGATTAGTTCTTGAGGTACCAGAGGCACATTGGAAGGTGGCGTTGTGAAACGAGTCTGCATAGGTGTACATACAGAAGTGATGTCAATTCCACTATGTAATTATGTTAAACAGAGGATAACGCTGAAAGTAATTAAACCAACCTTTGTAATTGGGGATCCAAGTCGACGCTGTAATCTTGCTCTACAAGTGGGTCACTGACGTGGACGCTAGTAGTTTTGTGAATGAAGAGGTAAGTAATTTTTAGAAGAAATATGCGAACCTGCATGAGTTGCAGATGCACGGAATGCAGATACCGATATCCATGGAATCGCCAGCTGGGAGCGGATAAAGTTAGCGTGCGAGATCACAACCAGGCACTTTAGGTCAGCCTTTTTCAATGGAACGCATTGGGGCATGACCCAGATTAGGACATCGTTCATGTCATATCACTAATGCTACGCATCCATGCATGGATTTCTCTTCTTCTAGCACTTGCCGAAAACATCGTTGTCAGACACCCGCTATCGATCGATCAGATTCATTGGTCGCGTATAGCATCGTCCTGTTTTTTTTTTTCATAATCATGTAGGTGCAATATCTAGGCTGTGTAAAAGATAATACTTGTCATCACACATCAACCTCAGGACAATGTCTCATCCTTTATTCAAATACTGATTCAGTGAGAAATTTTTCTTTAACAAAAACAGTTAACTCGATCGATGGTCGGCAATTTCATATGTTCTATTCGAAAGTCTGAATAATATTACCGTCCAACTTGATAAGCTACAACCGGTTGGACAGGGTTTTCAGGCACATGCACTGCAGATTTCGGAACTTGAAGCTGTAACTGAGACACTCCACTACGCTAAACTATTTCAATGATTTTCAGGCACAACAAGACCTGTCTCAGAGAAGATGATGGCGTGAGCAATGCTGGCTTGGAGGTCACTTTTCCCATTTGTTCCCAATCCCAAAGCAATAATACTCAGATCATTTGCTTGCATCAAGACAAGGTTGATAAGGTTACAGAATAACCGGGGAGGATTTGATGCTCATGTAATGGATCAAGGGTAAAACTGATGGAATCTAAAAGTTAAAACTGTAATAATCATCAAGTGGGTAACTCTCCATCAGCAGGGACAGTGGTGACCAGCGGGATTTCCGTCTGTATCACCCGCTGGTCCGCTCCTCTTGGTACACGATTAGTCATATAATGTAACCTGAGGACTCTCTCCTAGTCCTTCGCAAATCATAGCCATTGCCTGAATCTCGCCTGGCCCCACAGGATCACTGTCCGTTCGGCACCATACATAGAACGCAACATGTATACTGCAAAGATCAGCAAACTTCGTGTCCTGGACCAGCATTCACCTGATCGCTTTCCAGTTCTCCGTATCTACAGAGCGGGAGTTGACAATGATACAGAATATGACCTTCTTGAGGCAGTTCATCAGTGGTAAAGATTGAAGCAGGCGATAAGAAAATGTTGGCAAACTGGTTGCTCTCAGTGACTGTGAGATCCTGCAATGCATAAGAGTTCGATAAATTGATGCCTTTTTTGTTCGCAGCCAGTGAGACTGTTTGATGGATTAACATGGGATTTAAAAAATGAGAAAAGCCACGCACCGAAAGACATCATAACGTCCAATTTCTTCAACGTTACGCTCGCAGCAGAGATGATACATTCAGCATTCTCGATACAATCTTCATGTAGCTGAAAGTAAATCTCGGACACCTTGACCAGCCTAGGAGCCAACACCTCAAAGAAGGCATCGCTACTGAGGCATGTGACCATAAGAAGCATGTTCTGCCCTGTATTCAAAGATATCCAACATTGGGAATTCCATGTCCTGGCATTTATCATGGTCTGTAAGCCATGTGGATTGCTGCAGTTTTACGAGTTCATGACGATCGTTGCCATGGAATCCATGGGGAAGGACATGACCCTTGTAGTAGCAACTGGTATAAAGGCCAAACTGATAGAGCAGTAGCATTATAGGTCGACATCAAAAAAGTCGATAAATCAGCGTCACTGTAAATACAGTCCACCAATTCCACTCTCAGGAAATGGCTGCAAATGGGTAAGACATTTGAGATGAAGTCGTCATCGCACAGATCGAAGGACACAAGAACAAGTTCTTCCAAGGGAACGCCGACAGAGAGCCCCATTATGAACGGTTGTAAGTCCGGTCCGAAATCTTGTTCTGTTTCATCCTCAATTTTGTCGAGTATGACATGATGAACATATGCTTTATCATGTGGGCAAACCTGGAAATGCAATTTGGCTTTGTTATGGAAGCGGAAAGGAGTGACATGCAGCTCGTTGTGAATGTGCCTCAAAGAGACAGGCCAGAAACTGCGATGTGAGGTGAGTAAAGTAAGAGCCGTTGCCAAAGAATGTCCTTCATTCTCATCGGATAAAAGCAAAGCCCATTCAGCGCATTTGGCCATTATCTCGGGCGGACAGTATGGTGGCAGAAGTTTTCTGCTCTGAACATGACATAATCAAATCAGATGTGAGATAAGACAGTGTAGTAACGCATACCTCTTCAGTCACAAATCCCTCTGTCTGCCTACCGACAGAAACAATATCAGTGAGCACCGACAAATGTGCTTCCTACACAGATATTAAGAAAGGCTATGATGACTTTTCGTTATACATACGCGTGTGGAATTAACTACGGTGCCAATCTGCTTAAACCCAACTAGATCCATAGTAACAGTAACAGATTCCTAACAAGGGGGTAAGCAATCAAACGATCCTGAGAGCGCATAGAAACCACTTTACCTCAGACTCAGTGACCAGAGACATGGGGACTCTTTGCTTAGAAACAAGAGCTGGTAATTCCATCAATATAAGTGAGCGCCAGCTTGATCGTGTTTAATTGATTATGATTGTCGATGATCGAAGAAAATAATGACTCAGCGTGTTCGAAGAGAAATTCAAATATGGAACAAGTAGTATGTCATCTTTCCATAACTTTAGTCAACGCTGACATTACAGGCGATTACTCCTCACTTCGTGACTGCCTTTAATAAGGACTGAGAATATGCTGATCCTCGACGCAAACTATGTTGGCGGCACTTACCCGAGTTCTCTCTCCATTCTTCGATGCCCAGGGGAGAAGGCTGTTTGTAGACTTACAACAGCTAACTGGTGCTCTCATATCAGGCTCGACGGCGATATCATTCTTCAATGATACGATGTACCGGAACTCAGATCTCGACGTATATGTCGAGCACGATAAACATGCACCACTGATCAATTTTCTCCTCGAAGAAGGATATACTTTCATTCCTTCGAAAAAATCCAATTCCCATAGCATCGACACCCCTCTCTTCCCACCCACACCTCCGAATCATATCAGATTTGAATTCGATATAACCACATATGACAGCGAAAGCATTCTCTCTGTCTACAACTTCAGACGGCATGACACTGGTCGAGCAGTTCAAATCATCGCCACTAGCCATTGTCCTCTCAATACTATTCTTAACTTCCATTCTAGTGAGTGACAATGGAATCCGGTTTGTTTTTCTTCTAATGATTGTTTACAGCGTGCGTTATGAATTTCATCAGTGACTGCTATGCTGTCAGTCTATATCTGGATGCAACATTTGTATATCACGTTGCTCTCGCCAACTATCGAATGACACAGTGACAGCAACACCGATCTGACTGACAAGTATAAACGACAGTGGATGGAAATACGTCACACGAAGGAAATGTGCCCATACATTGGATTACCGGAGTGTCGTTCGAAGAGTAGGGGATGAATTTTGTTGGGTTGTCGACTTGTGGGACGATGTGGAAGACCACCACAATCTTCAGTGTAATACTTGGACTCTCAGTTACACCTGCGAGGATCACATTCGCTTTGATTTTGGTGTTATGCAATCTCTGCTTTTTAATTTGTCATATTGTGTTGCAGGAGCTGTACGAGACAGGGTTCCCATCTACGCGAATGGCTGGTATGAGTCCAATTAATACTATCATACTGCTCGACTTACAGTCTAACAGGATAGACCGTGAGTTCAATAATTTTGTATATGAATCATGTATAGTGTTGAACTCAGCACCAAACACTGTCCTTCATGCCTTGTGAACGATGTAATTCTTCACATGTATTTACCCCGTTATGTATCAATGTCTACGCGTTAGTCTCGCTAGGGTTCTTGGTCTTGAGGTGAAACTGAGAAATGGCGTTCCGGCACTGCCATGTCAGACTATCGGAGGCTACGTTCCGAAGCTTGTCCAAGCTTTCGTGCCATCATGAATATCATGCCATGACGTATTTGATTATTTTTAGGGAGAGGTTCTTTCCTTATTAGGACATATGCTTGACAATATGGGCTCCTCGTGCGCGAGAGGTACGATCCTGAACGGCGTCGCCGTACCACTATCACCTTGGTTATGCTATTCATCCCTACAGTACTTCAGGACAAGTAAGGAAGAAGACATGCACTAATTATACATAGCCAGTGGGATAGAAAAAGTGTATCCCTGAAAGCATTCTTCCATAACACGTCATCGAGCTGCTAAGCGTAATTCAGGCTGAGCACGTATTGTAGTTGATATATAAAAGATGTGTATAAAACCCTGTATTCATACAGGTTTTAAGTAAGACATGTTCAGCATTTCATAATAGTGAAGCATGCGAACTCCTCCAATGATGAACCAATTTGTGTCGGCCCCCATAAGTAGATTTGACGTGGTACGATCACAAGAAGTCATAAATTCCAGAGCGTTAGTTTCAGCAGAAGTATAGAAACAACTCGGATCAAATCAGCGATGGCACCACAGATTTAACAAGAGAGAAATGTAAATTCAATGGTTATGCAGTATAATCTTTGACAATAACTACAAGTAAGTTCGAAACATTGTAAAAGTTGGCATAGTGTATTTAATACTACAATTGATTAAAATTCAGGACCATCAGGAATTTCAACGTCAGACTCAGCCCAGTCGATGCCTTCCCCATCTGGAACGTTCATGGGAGTAGGGTCATCAACTCCAAGAGCTGTCTCATCCCCCAGATCTTCAGGGAAACGCTCCATGGCTGGACCTGCATCATCAGTATTAGCAGAGGCTAACAAAATAGCAAACTGAATGTTCAATGATGCCCTATTCAGAGCAGGAGTGCTGTCAGTTTTGGGAGTTTGATACCCTCCGATGGTGAAAGCAACCAAAACGCAGTCGCCAGGATCAAAATCAGCGTATGATGGTTCAAGTTTGGCATACTCAGTTAGCTTGAATGGCTCGGTTCCGATGAAACAAGGGACTAGGCAATACAGTAAGAACAACAATATCAGATTGTGCAAAACAGTGGACATACCTTCTATATCCCACACACGGACGGCTATAAATTATTCGCGTCAGAGCACACACAGGACAGTAGACAGAGAAATCACAGTATGGGGACCGTGAGTATGCCCATCCATGGGAACAGATTTAATCTTTAGCTCACGTCCACCTGTCGTCGCGTTAGCGAGATGCTCATTCGACACACGCATTTAGAAGACATACCTTCAGTGGGTTTTCTCATCGTCGAAGAATTGGACGCCATCCTTGTAAGAAGTGACAACGACGTTGTTGAATTTCAGCAGCTGAGAAATTACGGCCTGGCATCGGGGCCATAATCGTGCAAGAGGTTTGATATTTATCTCTTTGGATTTCCTGCCAAGAATAAGAGTGGATTCGGTGACCAAGCCTACTGTAAAGAATGTCGCAGTTTGAGTTGTCCTTGGCGTGGACGACTTTCCGTGAGTCTTTCGCCCCCACAGACAGGTATTTGTATCGTCGTGGCTCCATGAAAAGAGATTCTGCATATTATAGCCTTCCATATGCATTGCGATGTTGAAGATCCAGTCTGAATTGTCTTCAGAACAGGTGCTTTGATCATCAACTAAACTGGCATACCTCGCTCTGTCAATATTACCCCTGTACTCCTGTTCAAGTCTGAATGGAACTACCGCCTGAGGTTCCTGATTCCCCAGTAACAGTAGCATATTTCTGCTGCACAAGGCAAAACCACAACGTGCTGGTTACTGGGACCAACGACTAATCGCATCTTCGTGCCAGTGCCGTGACTAACAAATTAATATGAGTGAGAAATCTGGGAAGAACACGAATGACCCACTTCTTTGTGCTACCCTGAGTAACACTTTTAGCCAGAGCGGATGGAGTGCTCTTCGCCGCTTGGGAATTGGACACAGGGCCCGAGGAAACTTGAGTGGAACTTTCGTGTTCATGATCCAGGGCGGCATGTTCTCTGGGGAAGTTTTTAAGCAAACTGTACATAACATATCGTCAGATACTCACAAATCATCGGTTCCCATAGTTACATCCGACGTAGACCCTCTAAGAATGCTAACTTGTCAGCAGTGTCGAGGTATTCAATTTCAGTTATATCGCACCCAGTACTGTCAGCCTACTTTGCTGGCCTGAGGTGTAATAGGTGGTTCGCTGGTCCTAGAGAGATAGTCAGACTACAAGCCCATACCAAAAAAATTGACGAGGTAAACATACACAGTCCACAGTGTTTGTGATATCCTTACTACGAAAGACACAGGTGACAACATGAAAGACAGGACGACTGATAACAAGGGCACGTACAATACATTGGTCAACTTCACATGCTTGTCACCTGGTTCATCAACGGGCGCTGGTCCATCGATTCACTTTGCTGATCTACTGTTACAGTATCCACATTAGTTCCAAAACAATCAACCAAGTCAAAGGCCATACCTGTGCCTCTGTCGCACATTGGAGTTCGAAGTGGTAATTTGAGCCATATTCAAAAAGGACAGTATAGCAGTGAAGAAGCCTCAATAAGCCTATTGAACTGCAATGCTCTTGCGGGTGCACTTAAATACCACACGAATCGATCAATGATGTTGTATTGGATGTCCAGGCTGACTACAAATCATTTCGGATCTTCCAATGATTACGACGCTCAGTAAGCATTACTGTAAGTCAATCATCGAATATGCAAATACGTTTCAGAGTCCATCGATTGGGATTGGATGGGAAGATAAGTCAATATCCACCAAAAATAGATGCCAAACAAGTGCAAAAGCAATACCTGCAATGTAAGCTAATCGCTCTTAAGTGAGAGAACCTGAATCGCACAAGCTAACTTTACCTGTCAATGGCTCTGTCTCACATTGTCTGCGACACTCGTCACGTTCGTCCTCTGCTAGAGAAGTTAGGAACCAGTGAGATGCTCTTTACAGAGTAGAAGACAGTTACTTACAATTAAATACAGCAATCACGAAAGGAACTGCCATCCATACTCAAGACGAAGCTTCCAAAGCGTGCCAACTCTCGCGCTTCTCTGACCTCAGCCAGATTTCGGCCGAGTTAAGTGTCAGCTCGCCAGGAATGGATTATCGTCATTTTCTGGTATGGAAGGGATCTCAAGAAGAAGCTGTTTTGAATGTCCAGGGGGTGGTAGTCGAGGCGTACCTACCGCCTGTGATTCATTCGAAGAAGTTAGTCCAAGTTTCGTCTACTGTTCAGAATCTTACTATTTTCAGTTCCAAATGTGAAAGGACTTTCCAGATGGTCAAAGTTGCGGCACCCGCCATGGACAAACAATTCTCTCAGGCCTACCAAGCCATATCACATATCTATAACTACATGTCGCGCCATGATGAGCATGTTTCTATCACTTGAACGAAGTGTAGTATGCGACATACCTGCTATTCGTGCTGACTGTAAACTTATGAACTCACGGAGTCACAACTTGGATGAGATTATAGAGTCACGCTCCACCATGGACCCAGATGGATTGATGAAAGATATTATCAACTGGGGTGACTTTGTGTATACCGAAGACAACGCAGGTCCACTTCTATGAATGGAGATCCGAAGATAAACAAAGCATGTGAGTCAAATGTAATAAACGGCGACTATGTGTTGAAATTTTTTTTAGCAATACTAAACCTGCTCACCCTTGCTCTGTGCGTGTGGGGGATATAGTTGACATGGGGGTTTCTTTCCGCTTGATCAATGTCAATGGTGGTGTCAGATTCCAGACCAAGTTAGATACCACTTACAGTCATCAATCGCTCGGGGGTAGAGGTGAGGGTCATCTCTTGTTGGAACAGTTACAGATGAATGATTACAAACGATCATAGATTTTGGAAGGTCTGCAGTAAGCCAGACGGGGCACCTGGAAAGGAGAACAGTCCCAGACCACCCAAGAAACAGCGTGTTCTTCTAGGCATCAGGCAACATCAACACTAATGCCAGATGCTGAAGACCTCTAATACTGATTGAACTCCTATGTACTGTTAAGTCGCTCTAGAATAAATATGGGCACAAACCACCTGTCAATATCACCTTTTCATACAAAATGTTGTCAATAAGAAAATATATCATTGTCCTAGCAATTTTTGAGTGGACAGGCATGCTGTACATGTAACGATGATGTAAACAGTTGGGAGAAAACAAGTTACATGAGTGCAAAGTGACAGATGACTTCCATGTCACCGGATCAACCAGGCGTGTGACTTGTCATGATCACTTAGCTGTCACCTTCCTTAAAAGAGATGCTTGCCTCATGTTATCTGATGCAGGTATGCACGATCGTTATGATCGAATGCCCGCTGGCCCCTATAACAATGCATTAGAGATAAGACTACTCAAGATGTTCGAACAGGAAACTCCGTCAGCACGCTTGTTCTAGTATACTATTCATCCTATCTGTCAAACAGGGCATTATTTGTCAGTCTATCTCGATTCAGCTTACATTTCCTCATATCGCTGACATTGCCACTTGCTCTGCTTCAGATCAATGAGTAATAGGCTACAAATTAATGAGTAATAGAAAACAGGAGTATCAACGAGACATCCGCATCGTGCCTTCCATTTACAGCTGCAGCAAAGTCAGACTGGCTGTAATGCACATAAAGTCCACAAGACGCTGCATCTATCTGGCATTTTGGATATCTCCACTTTCTACATGATGACAACAAACTCCCCACCTTTAGACCTGAGTACCATCATCCTAACCTCTGCGGGCATGTCTCTCGTCTGCTCGAGGTTACAAGAAGAAGCGAAAGCAGAGGTGCAAACTCAATCCACAACAAACGCGTGCATGACTGCTGAAAAGAAACATTGTATAGCCAGGAATGATCTTGAAAGTCGGACGACTCTACAGCACTCAAGCATTTGATCCGGCTTACATCCTCATTCCATGCTTTAAGCCAAACACGAGACGTCGCACCATCAAGGATTTTGATACTGAGATGTACGTCCATGATATGTACAAGCCGTTGTATGTCAGCAACACGATGGGCTATCACATGATTGCGCTGAAGGAGTATCCGAAATTGGTGTTACATTTCTTTTACTGTCTGCTTCAGCTCGTCATGGGTGTAGTGAAGCATAACAACAAGAAGAATCACACGTTGTCGGTGCCTCTGTCAGTAAAGACTTCCTGGTATGGAAACTTCTTGATAATAGTCACCAACGGGAAGAATCCTGTGGATTTTGAGCAGACCAAAAGTTTTGCGAATGTAGTTGATGGGATTGTGAAGAAGTACGCTTTTCTTCAACTTTGAGGCAAACTCACTCACGGACTTGCCCATAGATTTGTTATCGATTATGTTGGAGAGTGGGAAGCGATGAAGGTGAATCCCAATCCAGCAATTTTAATTTTTCCTGACGTGCATGATCAGAAAGCGACCAATTACAAGATGATCAGGAATAAAGCAGCACCCACCTTCCTGAGTCTATATCGCTGATCATCTCAAGGTACGAACAGTCCTCTAAGTTATTCAAGGGAATAATCACAAGTTCATTTTGGTGTATCTAGAAAGACATATACACATTAAATACATCTTCCCTCTGTAGACCACCCGTAATTGCTGAAATCAACGAACTCTTTACTCTAAAATTTCTATGTGAGAAGGGCATATGATGCTCCAGTTCCTTAATGTATGCCTTGAACTGGTTCGGCTGCACTGTCCAAACCAGGAACACATGGCAAAAATCGAATATTCAGATGCTTTAACTCTTTGCATCTATGTAGGCTGAATGTGTTGTCCAAATATGACCAACGGTCCCATCCACTGATGGGTAGATGAGTGGCAACAGACAGCTGCAGTTCTAGCAAGCTATCACTTGAGCTGTATCGTATCCAATTTGATATAAGGTGCATGCATTCTTCATCGACGGTGATCCTAAGTCGACGTAACTGAGGAAATTCTATCACAGATGGTGTCATAGGTCGACCAGGACCCTCTAAACCATGATCAGAGACGCATGCTAATGAAGGTGAAATGTTTCCTCACCAGCAGAGACCAAAAGGAGAGTGACGACAGATGTGCGAACTGACACCAAGAGGCGAATGACTGTTGATTCGCATTCCCCATCGTACTGGATGTATAACCTTTTGATATTTTGGAGCGCGAGTTTCATGTATGATTGGAACAGGAAGCTATTGATAAGTCTGCGCTTTCCCCGCTCCACTGAATATGTGAGCGATTGCAACTGTGGTGGACAAAAAGAGCAATCATGGTCCTCGCCATAGGACAAACAGATAGAAGCAGGACCGCCGATGTTTACTTCTTGCAGATTGAGACCTCGAGAGAGGAGTGTGACAATATCACTGTCCCTGTAAACACTCCTTCGAACGAATAAACGACGAAATAATGCGGGAGGAAACTGGATATCATGTACTCTGGATAGAGGAAAATTCGTGCAATCAATGAACAAGTCCTCAAGTCCGTCGTGAGTACCAGTGATAGTGTCGATTAAATGAACAACTGTCAGCTGTCTTTCGACACTCGCGTCGGCACCAGACCATTCGCGAAGAATGACTGCCTTTAATATGACGATGAAGATGGGGGCTGCTGTCGAAGAACGTCACAAATGCCAGCAAATTTGTCTCCACCTGGGATCACAGCGCATTGGTACAAAAACCTCTCAGCCTCAGGGACACACACTCGTGCCATCAGTAAGCATGCGCGAGCAGTGGATGAGTCTTGCAGTGCCAGACATAGGATCTGGTGAATAATTTCGGGTGGAAATGCCATGTCCTGACAAATATTTGAGTCGTTGTGTCTATGAGAACAAAAATACCAACCCAGCGAAGTATCTTGTCAGGGGATGGACTTTTGCTTAGACATCCCCTGGATTACTTATATGCAGACTAGACCAGGTAGAAATTGCCAATACATGAGTCATGGCTGAGACATTTTCCATGCTGCTCTAGAGAAAATGTAAGCATCAAATTTTATGATAATGAATGTCTTCGCTCGATCCGTGCACTTCTATACAAATCGGGGTCATCATATTAGTCCTAAAGAATAAGAGCCCTCAACGTCCCATCATTAAGTGAAATTGAACATTGACCCATCAGCGAACACTGGCTATATGAAATCATGTCACCATGCAGTCCAAAAGGCAAACCCATAGTCGTACATAGCAAGCATAGAAAGCCAATCGTGGAACAGTGATGGTGCACTCGATCGCGACAATATTAATGCTCGTCCCTTGAATCATGCCAGTCCAAATAAGGCAACAAGAATCGATCTATTGAAACGAATCAAACACTACGGACATTTATCTGCAAGTCGATGAACCACTCCAACTTTGACCCCGTTCTCCTTCAGAGGATTGAATATTCTCTTCAATACTTTATCACCTTGTGTTACACCTCCAGTTAACGCTCTGTGCACATTCATAAGGTGAACTTCCACGGATACAGTTCTTAGCGCAGGAAAGCATGCGTCAACTGCCAAAACATCTCTTATATCCATCCACAGACCCTCCGCAAGGACTCGCGATGTGTCGTGAACGAGTACACCAAAGTGGTTAATGGTAGAAGGTCGGGGAAGTGTTTGAACAGCTCGAAGTAGGAGTCTTAGATCTATGGAATCTTCACCGAGATGGAGCGAGGTCAGGCATTCGCATCTTTTCAAAGATAGAGGTGCTCGACAGTGGATTCGATAGAGCTATGATCACAATGAGGATAAGACAAACAAAGAGAGAGGTTCACATACGACACCGAAGAACAACATTGCAAGTCTCCAAAGTGTCACATGAATTATCAATGACCTTTTGAACAAGATCCACCACACTACCATCGACCCATAGGAAGAGATCCACCAAGTTTCGAAGTCGAGGTGCCATAAACTGCCAGAAAGGTTCGCTCTCCAGGAGAAAATGTATGCCTGACTCAACATGATAAATGAACAGTGAAAGGGGTTCTACCAGTGTTTGCGTCTCGTTCGATGCATGATGAGGTTCAACCTCTAACGTCTCGAGACTAAGGTGGTCATGCCCATGGTAATGAGAAGGTTTGCCAGGTCCGAAATACACAGCCTTGAGAGTTGGATGGAAGGACAGCAGCGATATCATGAGGCTGTCAGTGAACGTGCATGACAAGAAAGTCACTGTACGAAAATGAGGAATAATGGTACGGAGGGCGGCGACGAGAATGTTACTGAAAATACACCGTTCAAACACGAGGGAAAGGAGAGGTAAGCCCTCTGAGGTGGCATTTACAATTGTTTTTATCAAGCCGATGTCATGGTATTGGATCCAGTTCGATGTCCATGCGGCGAACAAAATGTATGATATGTGGTACGTGCTCGAACAGCTCCCACACTTCTTGGGGTGTATTCTTGGGCCCTGATGCGAATTCGATAAAATAAGTAGGTGCATGATCCGCGGAGAAACACCTTGTTGACAGTCGAGAACATGATGGCTGTGTATAGGCTGTGCCGGCAAAAATCACCTGGAAGAATGCTATCCGAAAAGCATGCCAGGCAAATGATCTCGTCAATAACCTCTTGCGGAAAAACGGGTCTGAGCTGTCTCCTTTCCTGCTCTTCCAGACTCGGCGACCTAACTCAAGTGTCAGCCATTAGGATTGTTAGAAGTGAGTTGATGGCGACTCACCGTAAATCTATTACATTGTTATCTGTTTCTTCATCGCTATCAGAGCGATAGTCCAGAACACAACTGAGTACCGTGAGCAAGCACGACATACACCCATAACGAAACATACCTTTTTGGCATGGGGGAAAATTAGGCGAGTCGACGTTCGGTTGCCACCTATCCTCTACCCAAACAGGCAGCCTAAATACCCACCAATGCTTGGTGCTGACAAAATGACCGATGCCACCCCTCCAAACACGATCGAAAAGCGGAGGCGGAAGTTACTTTTGACCAATACAATCATTCGATTATTGATCGAAGGTGACCAATCGTTAGGGGCATAAGTGAGGGTGTGTTGAAAGTAAGCATGCCATCGGACAAATGGACCCGCAAACAATGTGCTGTGCATATTCTGTTAGATACAACAAATAGATAACAAAGAAAGGCTTACCGAGATGACCCTATCCCAAACATGTCGATGCAGACGACACAAGGTTGCTGCTAATAATGGCCGACGGTCCACAAACGCTCGCAATTGGAGTCCCCTTCAAAGCGAGCATCGAGAGCAGAGGGAATCTGGTTGAACAGGTACAAGTAAAAGAAGCACCAGCCCGAGTACGGTCTCACCAGCACATGACATGCATGCTCAAGCGTGATAACTTCAAATTGACAATGCTCTCGCATTTCCTAAACGTTCATTCACCAATTTACGAGTGTCTGCCCTATGACGCTTTGGGCGACGTTGATGTTCGTTATCCGATTCATTTTTTCGTTTTGTCTTCACCAAACCCAATCGATCCACTGCTTCTTCGAATTGTAACAACTGTCGGTCGCCGAGGCTATTAGCGTCAGTATCCTCATTCACATGAAGTGAATTCGGATTGCAGACTACAGCAATTTGTGCGAGCTCTTTATTTGCACCCTCTATCTCTCTCTTGTTGCCATATTTCTGATTAGTAAGTAACTGCAGAACCCTTAGTCGTCTGCTCTCGTTCCGATAGTCTTCTGATTGCCTCTTCTGAATCTTATCAATCTTAAAGGGCCTTAATATCAGCAAACCACTCAAAGACTTTGCTCATGATGCCATTACATACGGAGCTTCAGTGCCTCGACAACTCTCTAAATCAATGATGACATTACGCAGTGTTTGCCCCTGCACCTTATGAGCCATCATTGCAAAGGCTGGCATGATAGGAACCTGTTTTCGTTTGATCAATAATTTTTTCTTCGAGTAAGGATGTCTGAAAATCAAATCCATTGTATCTTGCAGGGCAATGACCTGATTTTTTTGTACGCCAGATAAATTTGGTCCCGTTATGGAAGGCAAGGATACCACACATGAAAGAGCATAACTGTCGGCCATCTTTGTCATGTTTGTATCGAATACGATCAAGAATTCCGATAGCCCCATTAACAATACCTGCTTGGACATCAAAGTTCGCTGTGATCATCACAGGCATCCCGATGACAAGCAGCAATGCTCCAAGTCTTTGACATGTTGTGCCTGGATGTCAGACCATGCAGATGACTGGTCAAGGAAGGATCGGTAATAACTTTTTGATGATGCTCGTCTACAGAGTAATAATAGTGCAATTGTCTTCCAGTGCGATCTGCAAAACTTCGAGCAGGCTCGATCATTATATGCGTCTTTAACTGCATTTTCTGACACTATCAAAGGTGCAGTTCTCCCATTCTTCTGAGTTCCAATCCAGTTTAACACGACTTGCCAGTCTAGAATTCAGCAGTTTGAAGTCTGCCTCCATACATACACCTGTTCGCAATCGACCCAAGAGATCGACAAAGTCAGCATTTTCAGTGCCTTCCTGTCTCATAACTTTGTGCAGAATTACAACCACATCGACCGAGAACCACAGCAGTTTCCCCAGTACGTGTTTTTGAACATGGAATCTGCCCTCGAACTTCTGTTCTTGACACGACTGAAAATTCGACTATCTCCAACAGGAGAAAGTTGCGCAAAGTCACCCGCAAAAATTATGTTGATACCACCAAAAATGCCATTATCTTCCTTTGCTTCACATAACGCTGCAGAAATCTGTACCAACATCTTCGAACCAACCATAGACACTTCATCAATAAAAAGATAATCCACTCCTTGCCACATGGAAACGAGGTCTCGACTGGAACCTGATTGAACAGAACCATGTTTTCCTCACCGGTTCAGCATCAGAGCACTGTGTAACGTCAGCCCAGATATATTTTTCGCAGCAACGCCAGTATAGGAAGCAAGTCTAAACTGTCGTGACTGATTCCTCGAGTCAAAGAAATCATGGAGCGCATTTATTACCATAGATTTACCTGTACCTGCCGGGTCCATTCAAAAACATCCTCAGAGGCTTAGGCTTTAATTGCATACTGTGCTCAGCAATGATTCGGAATGCTCTCTGCTGCTCTGTATTCAGCGTGTACTTCTGAATCAATGTGTCAACATCTACTTCCTTGTCTGCATCGGTTGCAGGAATGTCTTGCTGAAACAAAGGAGGTAAAACTATTGGATTGTTGAAAGCTTCGTGAAACGCACTGCCTGTCATTGACATTGGTGGTAGATGAAGAACCATGCTTAGAAGGAGAAGGTTCTGGAACAGTGTTAACCATTGCACTATTTTTCAACAGAGTACGCCGTTTCTCGTATTCGCTAAACCAAATAGCTTCCTGATGAGGTGCGTCTTCGTCAATTAACTCTTCCCCTGTCTCAGAGGCCGACTGAATGCCGTTTCTTTCAGCCCTCGACTGGATTTGCTCTGTAAAAACTCTGTTAAACATTCCAACGCTCTCAGCATGGCAGAGACTGTCGTGTACACTCCTCTTCATAAAATCCATACGTTCTCCCATCGCGCGGTCAAGGTTCTGAAGATGCTGCAGAATTGCTTCATCTGTGTCCTCATCACCTTGGAAATCGTCATCGAACTGAGAGCGACCTCCATATCCTGGAAACGCATTTCCAGGCATGCGAATACTGACAGGCGCACAAATGATCATCATGACTATCACGACATTCGTGCATGATTTGCATGTTATCGATAACAGACAAGACATTACGAGCACAGATCGTACGGAACCTTTCAAAAGCGTCACTCCATGACTCCCCTGCATTTGCAAATCTGAAGCGGAAGTCCACAGTTTGAAAAGAATAAGCATTAGACGACAGTAACATGGATAAACTTCCTCCTTGTCACGACTGGGGAATGGATGCACCCAAAGGAACAGGTACCTTCCGTGACTCTGGTCAGTATAATCACCTGATAGTATGTATCTTTTTCTATGTGCTCAGAACTGAAAGTAAACTTAGGTCTTTTCCGACTACAGTCCTCAAGAACATCTTGTAATGAGGCCCAGTCGCCTTGTGCTAGCATTTCGACTGATGGCATCTGATCTATTTCTGGTTCTGCCATAAACTTGACATCACTATCGCCCTCGTCATCTTCATTGTAATACTTTGTACCAAGTTTCTTACTTTTTTCTTTCTTAACACTGAGCCTGTGTACTCCCATAATGATAATTCATTCAATGCAGGGCCACGGTGAATGTAATCAGTGACTCTGCTCACCCGTGAGATCAACTCGCCACTTTCATCCACAGGACACAACTATCTCTTCCTCGTCATCACCTTCGATCTCAGCAGGATCATCAGGACCTGTTGTCACTATGTTCACTCTCATTATCAGGAATCATCATCACTCAACTGTTCATCTTGTTCAAATGTTCAGACCGATGGTTTCTCTTTCATCCGATATCTCGAAATTGAATCCTCCTTGGTCATCAAATATGTCCATTGCCTCCAGCTAAGGTTATAGAGGGTTTGTCCGGACTCTGTGGGCAGCACGTCCACTTGCATAGTGCTTTGCAACGGATCAGTTCGAAATGTTGACAGGTATTTCAACATGTTGCATGTCGAAATGGAATCCTCGTGGTTTAGGTCTTGTGATGTGATCGATTGACGAACAGAGCATTCTGGAGACGGATCTTGTTTCTCAATGTACTGCTCGAAAGAACCCCAGTACAAACCTTGATACTCGTGACTAGTAAAATGATCCTCGAAAATCCATTAGGTAAGAGGTGACCTGCTGCCCAGAGAGTTCTTGATGTGATAACATAGTATAAGCACAACGCTGCAACAAACGCTTTGCTCTCACAGTGATTTCATCCTCGTTGGGATTGTATTCTCCCAACTTTTTAACAGAGAGCTCTAGAGCAGCATAAGCGATGTGAGTCTTAAGTTGTGATTTGGTGATATAATCAGTGATATAATATAGGACAGCCTTTGCAGACGCACCGGATCCGATGAATTTGATATCCATGTTACACCTCATCGCACGTAAGATTGTTTCATTGAAGTTGTTCACCATTCCATTCAGGCATCTCAAACAAAGTTCACCGGTTTCATAATCGAATGAAGATTCCGCTCTAATTTTGCTCTCATCGAGGTCAAACCGACAGACCTTGGGTTTCGCCATCGCCACAATACTTAAAACATGTTTTACTGTGTGAGTGAATCTGACAATCTTTTATGAGATTATGCAGATCTCTTTGGCAGAGTGCAGGGTCTCTTTCCCCACGATCATTCAGTAAATCAATGCCTCCCCTTATGGCAGATGCATGATAACCATCGGAAAGAATGGGAACCGAATTTTCTGGTATGTCTGGTATATAATTGCTGATTGCATCATCTAAGAATGAAAGCAGACTGATCTCTGAACTCTTTGTTCGCCCTGCCTGTCAATGCGGTCCTTGATTTCATTGGGATTCAACAATCCCTCTAGCCAAACTAACATGTGACAGTGAAGTGTACCGCGTCCTTGGGCTTCAACACATCCATAATATGCCTTTACCAGTCCGAGAACACCTCCATCGAAGTCGGTTCATTTTGGATCATAACCTAATATACATTTTATGAAGGCTTTCATATAACATTTAAAAAACCTCGCTGCGACACTGGGATTCTTGCCTACAAGAATAGTTTGGTCCCTATGTTTCAGAAGATCTCCACCTAGTATGTTATCCACATGTCGATATCAGAACCGGCCAGAAGACTGACCACTGGATTATAGATGTCAGTGGGATTGATTGTAACGTAGAAACTTGGCGAGCCTTGGTCTATCATCAGACCACGAATCTCATTCCTCATGACTGTATGAGAGGCACCCGAAGCTGGAACTGTCGCAGTTACTGCCTTGACTTCCTTCATCAATGTCAATGCCTCCTTCTCTTCCGGGTTATTCGCCGTTGTATAATCACCTCTAGAGATGCGCTCTGAGACATATGAAGTGCTTCTGGGGAAACAGTAGCAAAACTTCGAGCAACAGACGTGAAACTCTTGCGTTTCACTTTCAAACTTGTGTGTAGCAACATTTCTCGTCTTTGAAGCATATTAAATGCAGAAAATAAAAAAGAATAATGCTCTTGAAACCTTGTATCGTTCAGATTGAAAAAATGTTTAACTTGGGAGGCAATGAATAGACTCATCCTTCTACTTGGCTCCTCAAACCCACCTATGCCATACATGGAAACAAAGTTGGGTACATCATCGGGAACAACAAAGGATTATTAAATTCGTCCGTGGGTGAAGGATCATGCGTAAGTTCAATATAACCCCCCCCTCTTTTGTGGATGTGCCTCATTGCTGGCCTGTTTAAGATTATTCGAAGAGGAAGAAAAATCAACGTCCGCTATAATGATGCTCTCAAAATTCACTGAGTCAGGTACAGGCAATTGTACTTTGGGATTATCAACAGATGCTTCATATCGCAATGTCAGAGTGTCTCCGGCTGCACTGGGCAAAATATGCTGTATAACAAAAGGCAAGTTTGGATTGTCATCTAACTCCTGAAGGACCGTTTCATTGATTTCAATGTCACGATAAAGGGGATTATTATTTTTCAGCCATTTCAAAGCCGCCCAGACGCATGCCCCATTGACAGCCAGGGGTTTAGCCTTTGTTCTGAGCCATTCATCTGAAGGCTTATATGCACCAACGAAGAGTACACATAATGGAGACGTGATTTCCTCAACAGATGGTGGCAACGATCTTGCTATTTCTGATGGTCTTTGTGGATAAACAATAACATGTCCTCTTATTCCTCGCTGCATGTAGTCCTTCTCAATACCACCTTCTTCTTTCAACTGAACTACAGTGCACTTTGAATGACATAACGAGATCATATTCTCTTCGATCATCGTCAATTTGGCCAACTCGGGGGGTACCGGTCCCTGATATAACCCATTAGCAAGGCTCAGATGTGGAACACGACCACAACGGATGCTCCTGACACAACATTTACACATGCTTAGAATGGAGATACCATCGACACCAACCTCTATTCCGCTTGGGTCTAATTGTAATCCAGCGAGTTCGCCTGTTTGGAATGGCAAATCATTGTCAGTGCCAGGCCATTTCATGACATCTGTCCTACCCTCACCGTTGACCCGTAAGCACATTAAATCAATTTCATTGACAGTCAGTCGACGAATGTCTTGTATATGATAATGTGCAGCGCAACAAGAGCATGTAAACATATGTAGTGAGTCGCTCCCAGTTTCATGCATAAAATCAGACAGTAAGCGTTCCTTCAATGATAGAGATGCCTTTCTTGGCCATTGACTCCGAACTTCTTCCAGCTGCGCTTGTCTCTCATTGTCCATGTCACGAACCACCTCTTTTCTAATAGCATTTTGTCCAGAAACAAACTCTGCATATTTTTTGCCTTTTTGGATTCCATGAATGTGATTCCTTATAACAGTACGGGCTTCCTTTGTGGTGGATACATCGGGGTTCAAACCATAACTGGTCATGATGCGACGACACGCTCTTAAAGAAAGGGTTTTAACAATACGTTCCATCTGAACAAGCAACAAGTCTGTGTCTGAACGAAGAGGTATATCAGAAAGGGAGCGATGTTTGTCACACATAGATGTCGTATCATCATGATGGGCACATATTCCGTCCTGAAAATGTTCACTGAGATCAGTTATCAAGTCAGAGATTGTAGTGTTAACACCGGAAAAAATTCCGTGAGCCTTGGCCATGCGCTCCAAAACAAGTGTTGGAGTACCATCCAGAAAACCCCAAGTAGGTGGACCAAGAGTGTGCGTATAATCTGTGAGAAAGTTAAGCATTCTCTGCCTAGTCCAGGACCCTTTAAAGCCCAATGACCCAACTATAGCACCAAGCTTCGATAAAGTCAAATGCGCAACATGCCCTGTGTAACTCAATACATGTTGAACAGTATGTAAACTGAGTTCGACTGCAGACGTGAATCCAGATGCAAATACAGCACACTCAAATGTATCATTTGGGTCCTTGAAAAATTTGTCATGCTTTCTAAATCTTCTATGAGATTCATAGCAGTCTCCTACAATCAAATGCCGTATTACAGACTGTCTAATTGTAACAATGTCAACACTGTCATCATACATAAGGCCATGACTGCGAGCAATAACATGAATAACATCGAAGTCCTCGACAAAGAGAGAAGCATGAGGACCAGTAGCAATACAACTGAAAAACAGGGAAGTCAGAATGCAATGTTGAATACTGGATCCAACACCAGACGAATCTGAATCTCCATGCAACAGACTAGGTGCAGACACAGACAAACCATCAGCAGTAACATCAGCAGTATCAGTGGTAATATCAGCGGTAACTTCAGCAATATCAGCAGTATCAGCAGTATCAGCGGTGGTGGATGCATATGGTCTAGCACTATGACCACTTCCAGTAGCCATGCCATTTAACACGGATGCGGAAGCCCTGTCACAGACAGGACGGTCGAGGAAGACGGATTAATCACTGAAGTGATATCCCTTGGGATAACATTGTCAAAACGACGCAACAGGAATGGCGTCATCGGTGGAGTCATGCAACACACCATCAACTGCAACAAATACTTCAATAAAACAGTGTAAAGAATATAAGAAAGAACAAACTGGAGCCATAATCGGGTACAGTTCATGATACAACGCCGAGAAGTCATGACCGAAAATGATGTCATTGTCAGGGATCCTGGACAGCTGGAATCGCATGGTTAACACAGCAGTACCATGCTCTCCTCGGCAATGGACAACAAGTTCCAAAGAATGGGACGTCGGCAGCCCACAGGAAGACAGCCACGACGTTGACACTATAGAGTTGAACAGATAACCGTCGAACGAGTACCAAACAATCTTGTCGTGAACAGAGAAAATAGTGAATTGAGAGTGAGACATAGGTGGGTTACACGGAAAGGAAGAAAAGGAAAAGGAAGAAAATCTTTAGTATCGACTCTTTAAAGCTCCGCAAAAACCTCCAAACAACCAGGGACAAACAGTCAGCAAGGGGCGACACACAGAGGTGAGACAAGATCCCCTGAAAACATGATCACAGACACGTGCACGTATCGTTTCAACACTGCATTCCGGTGCCAAGACCATGGGCTAAAGCGATTTTAACGACGTCTTCACATTCAAGTCTCTCAAACCCGGTCAAAAGACGAAACAATATAGTCAGGATGAGGATTTGTAGGGCATGTGCATTGTGGCATTCACTCGTTTCTGGAGGGTGCTCTGTACATGAATGCTTTCGCTGTCGGACAAAAGTCCAATAACATCGATGATGGCCATGGAGCATAGGTGATGGCATCCGTAGCACTGCATTTGATGACAATAAACATGACAAAGAGAGCAAAGATGGACAGATCATGACTGGTGCGACACTGAGTCATGAATGCAGAGCACAATAAACCACCCTCGCCTGCACAGAGGCCTGCGAGGAAATGCTCCAATAACAGCCTTCCAAATTGCGAAAAATCCATGCAGGGATGTATATGAAAGACAACCATGACCATGTAATTGGTGTGCAAGGTCACGATGATCAAGGGTAAGAAGTCCTCGGGTAAGATCTGTCATTGCAACATAGTGATCAATCAAAGCCTGCAGAGCGATAATAGGTAGCTTGTTATTCCCTTGAAAGAAATAATCAGGTAAAACGAGATAAAGAAAACAGTAGTTGATATAACACACCTTTGTGGAAGTTAGGACTTTTGACGAGTTCTACAACCAGTCAAATCCGAGTTGAACAACGGCATTACTTTCTTTTCCAATCACGAGTGGAATTTGATGTCATGAAAGTCCTTGCTTGCAGTGAACGGTAATGGAAGAGATTCCTCCAGAAGCATGAACGAGACTGCCACATCGAGAGTGATTGTTTTTGAAAGCGAGAGTAAGTTGGTACTTCTCCTTCCCAACGAGACAGTGAAGCATGAGGAATAAAGACAGATGGTGGTCAAAAGAGCCGTGCCATGCCGCTTGGTCAGGATGCGCCCCTCACGTGATCCAGAGGGAACAGAAGGATGAGGGTGTACAGTCTCTAAACCGGTTATCTTGCAATTCATGCCAAAAACACAAACAGTAGCGTTTTTTTCAGTTGAGACGCATCGGGCAGACATGGAACATGGAGAGTGCTCACTGCCTCCGGCTTCCATTGGCAGTGTGTGCGGAAAAAAATGGAAACAGTGTCTTCGGTCATAAAACCGGTTATCTTGCAATTTCACGCCAAAAGTTTCAAAACAGTAGTGTTTTTTTTGGACTGGCACCCATCGGAGACAAACGGATGCGCACTGCCCCTGGCTTTCTTTCCGGCTAGTTTGCAATTTTCACGCCAAAAAGTTCAACAGGAGTGAACTGCACATTGACCCACTACCAAGGGTAGCGGGAATACTATTTTACTAGAACTTTCCACGCTTTTCCTCAGACTTCTTCCTTAATAAGCAAACTTCGGCATGATGCCGGATTGCCAAATCCCAACAATTACCACGGCCAAGCAGGGTTCGAATCGAAGCAATAAACAGTCTCAAGGTCAGATGGTCACTCCACCGATGACTATACCAGTAAAGACGCCTCATAGTGCTGTCTTCCCACTGAGGGAGAGAGGGGGGGGTTAGAGGGGCCGTTGACTGGTTCTCTGCGGTTCAAGAGTAGATATCACTGACAAAACGAGTTACGACAGAGAACCTAATAAATATCATGTTATTGGGTGACATCAAACCAAAACGAGAACCTGCCTGATAAGAGGGATGTGACCGATTGCTACTAAAAGCCACTACTTCGTCTGTAGTACCGTAAGCTCTTTTCCCCGGTGACCTGGATAATGATAAGAACTTGAACAAAAAAATAGCCTTGATGCTTAAAGATTCTTTGACCGGGATTCGAACCCAGGTAGTAAGCAGCGCTGGATAAGACCCACAATGTAAGGAAGAATTAATATTTTGGTCGTCTACTGAATGAAGACATAAATGGAGAGGGAGATAGATGGGTCTTGTAATGAAAGTACGACTAAAACCGGAGCAGGGTATCTGACCGATTGCTAAGATTCATGACTGTGTCTGTGGTACCCTAAGCTTCTCCTGACTGGATAAGAACTTGGAAGGGTACGATAAGAGCCTTAAACAGACGATACAAAAGTTTATTTATCTGACCATGCTCCAGTCGGGACTCGAACCCTGAAAACCAGTATGATAAAACCATAGCGTCACGAAGGATTATCTAAAGGGATTTTTGCAGTTTCATTTATAGCGATGCTTATTGCGGAAACCAGCCACCTGTGAGAATCACGTAAATAGTCAGACAATGGAAAGGCAGATGGCCTAGTAATGAAAATACGATCACATCCACGAAGCATGGGTACGCGGAATCAATCTGAAGCTCAGGCGCAAGGAATAAAAAGACTATCACAAAATATAACCCTTCCAAAGGGATTCGAACCCTAGTCTTTGACGTCACACACCCAGTAGGTCACGAAGGACATGTATTACGACAACTGGACAACCGTAATCTTCCCAAACCCCGACCCGAGGGCGGTTCTCCCGAGTTCTTCGTCATAATCCAATGAGGTCCAGTTTATTCAACGGGTTCGAGTGCACCTCTCGAACGCGGACTTGCCCAGTGGGGTTAAGCGGGCCGGGAACACAGCTGCCATGAGCGTCTCGCACCTGTCATGTTCTTCCCAGTGGGAGACCATCGCGCTGATCATGGGGCCGTATCTCTACTGCAGTCCCCACGGTTGCCGAGGATAACATCTGTGCATCGAAGTGCACTCCGTCGAGATGATATTTTGCTGGTGAGGGTTGGCGGGGAAGAAG